GTTATCTATCAATATTGCTTCTATAAATGAAGCTATTTTATATTTCTCTCATCCCAATCTGTATCAAAATCATTTCACAGAAGCCACAAGTGTCACAATACACAAAAAAGAGCACACAAGATTGTTACTGACATATCCAAAGTGAATAAGGGTTGGATTTCTACAATCAATGAAGTGTATATAAAAGAGAACATTGAATCATAAATGGTCCCTCAGGTGAACAAAGTTGATACCATTAGGGATGAATGAGGAAAGAGTTGTCATTTATTTGTACAACAGGCAAAACAAAACAGATCTACAATTAAAACCAGAGTTAAGAAAAAAACAGGGAAAAAAAAATTCCAGTCTATCATAATAGCAAATAACAAAAGTTTGAGAAGCCGCAACATTTTATTTTTGCTTTTTAAATATTTGAAAACTATTACTTCTTTAATATTAGGCAAAGAAAAAGAGGGGCATGTAATAAAGAGGAGGATCAGAGAGAGAGAGAGAGGAAGAAGTAAAGGAGAAGAGAATCAGAGAGAGGAGGAGGATAAGAGAGAGAGGAAGAAGTAAAGAAGAGGAACAGGGAAAAATTGAGTCAATGAGAGATGGGGTAAGTAAAAGAGAAGATCAGAGAGAGAGAGAGAGAGAGAAAATAAAAGAGGATCGGAGAGAGAGGAAGAAAAATAAAAAGAAGTCTCAATTATGCGTGTCTGTGTTTAAAATTTCAGATATAACTAAAAATATATTTGTAGTGTAAAAGGACAATATGAATAGATACATTTCCCTTTTGTATATATATATATATATATATATATATATATATATATATATATATATATATATGCAAGTTTCATTGAAAACGATTGACAAGGTGTGATGGTTGAGTGTTTGTATAATTTTCTTTTTAGGACATAGATTATATAAAAATTGTCCAATTATTTTCCAAGTGCTTTCAACTTTTAGCCATTATCAAGGATGAATTTTATTTTACTTTTAACTGAATATATGCATTGTTTTATGTATGTATCTAGAGTCATAGGAATGTTTTACTTTCCAAACAGTCATCACATTGAGGCTGTGTTCATAGTTGATATTACTGAGCGTGGCTTTTCTTTTTTAATAATAATATGCTTCCATTATTTTTAGCCTTTTTGTCCATGTGGATGATGCTATCATATTTTATTATCAATAAGTAGGTTATGGATAAAGTTTAGTAAGTATCCATGTGTATTTAAATGAGACCTAGTTGAGCTATAGTCAAAGAGATGTAATAGGTCTTTTTGTTAAACATATTGTAGTATATCCTATATATGTATTTACAAATTTTGATTGGTCAGGAACACAGCTCCTTAAGAGACATGTAAATTTGTAAATAATATTAGTTCTCTATAATGTAGATCTTGCAGGTGAATTATTATTTTTGACGATGAGGTTAGCGGTTTTAAGTTTTTTGTAATAAATAATTTCATTCTTTTTTTGTTCTTGTTGACTGGAGTTGTCTATTTATAGAATTGTATTTTGTCTACATGTCTGCATATCTAAGAACAGACATGTAAACAAATATATTTTAGATATGTACAAACCCAGATGAAAGTGCATCCAACAATAAATCTTTTTTTTTTCCTTCCAGTTCAACTTAATCTTGCCATACCCCTCCCCTTCTGTTGTATTTTCCTGTTATGGTTTTAGGTATATAAACAGTGAAATGGAGCATTTAAAAAAAATATAATTTGTCAAAATCACCTGAGGAAACCTTTTGGTTGAATCCCAGGTTATGTAACCAGTAAATACTCCAATTTTTTAATATCATCTGCTCCACACGTTTAATTTTTTTCAAATTTGTGCACTGAATGCTTCTAAAATATCCATTCACTGACATTACTTTGTTCTGACCAACAACTTTATTATATTTATAAAAAGAATCCATCCATAAAGTCATCATTTGCCTGAAGAAGTCTTTTGGAAGGAGAAAGTGCATAATATAGAAGTTTTTGTTTCTTTTTTTGTTCTTTTCCAGTTTGTCCTTCAATTATGCACTACTAGTCCTATATATATTATCTTCCACATACATATGCATAGCACACATGTATATATAAGGGAATGCTGAAAAGTTCTTGGCCCAAATATCTTCCCAAAATTTGGCTAAATGACCAAATATCCCAATTCTGAGGGACAATTCCTTCCTGGTTATTCCAAGACCTTTTCAGCACCCTCTTGTTAGGCATACATTAAATGATTGGGTAGATGAATAGATATTGGTAAATATTTAAAATAGGTATAGGTAACTCCACTAATTCAGTATATGTTAGTTTTAAAATGAATTTTTTAAAATGAAAAAAGCTTTCTTGAAGCTTTAATTAAAAGCTAAAGGATTTAAAATTTACTATTTCCAGTAAGCAAAAATACTGTGTTGTATTTCAAGCAGAAATTATATTGATCGGAATCTTTTTTTTTTTTTTTTTTCAGTAAAATTGATAAAAAACGACCATTTTAACACATTTGTAAACAAAATTTAATTCTCAGTTTGAAAAATCTTGCAAAAATAAAATATATTTCTGAAATGTTATTTGAGTAAAATTAGCAAATTTAAAGTTAAAATTAATCTAATTTGAAAAAATATTACTTACTTATAGCATAAAATGTTGTATACAATGGGTCTTGTTTTTCTGACATGTTAATCCATTTATTTACATCCGATTAACAGCTGAATGTGTTCACAGTTAAGTATGGTGGAGCAGACAATAAAGTTTAAGTTTTTTTTTGTCGTAAGTGGAGGGGGGACAACCTTTAAAACATGACCTTTAAATGCTAGATTTATCAGTTTGTTCATCCATACTTCAAAATTCTGCACGTAATCACACGTACAAAAAAAAAAAAAAAAAAAATTTCGAAATTCTTTTAAAATATTCGGGGTCATCAGATTGTAATAAGCTTTACAATTATGATTAGTAAATATAGTTTTACTTGATAACAATATTTCATCAGAATAATCACATTGAAACCAAATTTTAAAAGATTTAAAAATTGTATAAATTATTCAATTTAAAATTGTAAAAAAATGTAAACAAATCTTGTAAAAATTTTTTGTCAAAAAATTTTTTTTTCTTCAGACAATATTGTCTTTAATATATATTACTCTTAAAAGCAATTAAAAGCTTCCCTAATTAAATAATGTCTTAGTTTTATTACCTTTCTTTTCAATTCAGAATAGTTTTTCAGTAAGACCAGGTCCAAATTTTCAAAATAATTTGGTGATTTAAATTCTTCAAAGAATTCTACTTTTAACTAATATAGTCACTAAAATTATCATGTTGAATTTCTCAAGTTTTCATAAAATTATGTAAGGGGGTGAAACACATGTAAGAAAAAAAAAAAAAAAAAAAAACAATTTACCAAGATTTTCTAATAAAAAATTTCAAAAATAATTTCATTCATTTGTGAATAAGTCCTGAAAATTTCATTAAAATCTGACAATTGTTTGATTTTTGCAAGAATTTCCAGATTAATGTGTCTCACCACAAAAAGAGGTTAAAATTTGTTGTGGTAAAAGTTAGTACAACTGCTGACACTAGAAAAACAAGTTTTTGAATCAAAATTTTCAATGTTCTAAAAAAGGAATAAAAAACAAAGATTTTGATGATAAAACTATGTTTTCATTACATTTGGAGCATGTTTTCATCATGGTATGCTGATTTTTTAGCAATTTTGTGGAGGTATCTAATTTAAAGTAAATCTATTAGAACAGTGCTGATGTGACTGGCATAATGGTTGTCAGTATAGGAAATGGAATCAGTGAGTCAGGTTCAAATTCTGGCAAAGGCAGTTTGAATTCACATTTTCCTTGAGAAAGGCATGAAACCATTTCTCTATGATTGAAAATTGTGGGTCAGATTTGACCCATTAGCATTGGTAGTGCCACCAGTATTAGACAACTCTAAATTCAAAACCAGTCTGAAGGTTAGGCCCTGTCAGGTTTTCTTGCCGCATGCATACCATTTGCCTTAAAACACCCTATATTGAGTTAGAGATGATGCACTAGAAAAATGAGCTAACATTGATCAATGTAATTGCTGAAACAAATACATTTTATCTCGTTTTTATATGTGAAAAAGAAAAAAAAATTAAACAAATAAATCTCAAAAATATAATCCGTACGAAAGTATATTTTTTCCCTCTTAAATTTTTAAACAAACAACCCTTCCAATATAATTCTTCCATTATTTGATTATTTGGTTTGAAGTAAAGGAAAAAAAAAGAAAAGAAAGAAAAAAAAAAAAACAGCTTTAAGATAAAATTGCCCTGCACTACAACAAAAATTAATTACTTAATAGACTTATGAAATGTATAATTTTCTCCAAATTAAAAATAACTGTCTTGGCATTTAATACAGAAACGTTAAATAGATGTAACAATAAGGGACAAGTTTAATTAGATCAGACATTGTACAAAAATGTGTTATACAAATGTCAAAAAAAAAAAAAAAAAAAAAAAAAAGTCAAAATTTAGACATATTTACAGCCAGGAATTTTATTTTTTTTATTTATTTATTTTTTTTTTTTTTTCATTATTTTTATTAATTTTTTTTCAACAAATGCATAAGTTTCTTTAAAGGGGTGAAAAAAAAGATTATTTATAGAATGACTTTTGAGGTTTATTTTCTTCTCGGCTTAACAAGCATAAATATGCAATCAGTTTTTGCAAAATATTTGTTTACTGTTGATTTTTTTGTTTTTTTGTTTTTTTTTTTTTTTTTTTTAAAGATGTGCTTCTTTTTTGTATCACTTCAAAACTATGAATACAAGGCAATCTGGCAGACAAATTTGTTTCTGGACAAAATCTTACAGAACTATTAGCATCCACACAAAACAGATACACACTGTCATTGAAATCCTGTTGGAAATTGTATGCGAGAGACTGAATGAATCCCTGTTCACATTGTGAGGCTGAATAGAGTTTGTCATGTCAGTTGTCTTTTTGGAACACCAATCGAGATAGTTGAACAGAAAGTGTTTGTATTACTTTAATATTTTGGAATTTTTTGTTCTGGATGTCAGAATGTGGAAGATTGTGTTCGTCAATTGGGCGGAAGGAGTGAACAACTTCAGAGGAAAGGGACTACTAGAAAAGAAAAGAAAAATCATTATAAGCATCAACAATCGAAACAGATAATTTTTTTTTTTAATTATTAAAAAGAGTCAATACTTTTATGGAATTACTGGCAGAAGGACATCGCTAGTTGAGATCTCAAAAATATAAATGTCCATTTCTTTTTTTTTCTGTCCCAAATAAACCAATTATATGCAAATGAATAATTAAGTGCTGATTGGTGATAATTGGCCAAGCACATTATGGCACAATGCACAGAACATTTTTATTCATTTTTCATTGATTTCAATTTGTTGTTTTTCAAAGAAGTTTCTCTTTTTTAAGAATTTCATATTTCCAGAAATATTAGATTGAGTCATAAATAATTTCCCTTTTTGTGTACAATTTGTTTCCAAAAATGGATTGATTTGATGTTTTTTATGCTTTATCAACCTTTTGCAGGTTATTTAAACCAGAAAATATTTTTAGATTGTAAGAATTCTTTTGAGGTTTCTGACAGAAGTCCTACTAATTAACCCAAAGCAGGGGGAGAAATGGTGGATTCATACCTATCACAATCTGTGTGTAAGTGAATATAACAAATACAACTGGAATTGAAACTGGGCTCTCCGATTTCCAATTCTGAGCTGTTATCTATTAGTTACACCACCCACACATCCAAGCTTACAGCACCTTATATTCCCAATCTAGGTACTAACCAGGCTCAATGTCACCCATCTAGGTACTAACCAGGCTCAATGTTGCTTATCTTTTGTGATTGTATGAGGACCTCCAAAAATGGAAATAACTTCTGACTCAACCTCAGAGTTCAGAGTTGATTTGAAAAATCAAGTGTATCTATATGGACAGATAATACAGTTTCTTTTAAAAACAAGATCTGTTAAGGACAAATAAGTATTTATTTGTATGTCCCCATCATACAGCATGTGACACAAGGTCAAGATTAATGTGGGCTTTCAGAAACTATTCAAAAATTGCTCAAACCCCCTTAGCATTTCCCCTTCTGGGTATGCCTCAGCTGCCGGGTAATTACTCCAGCTGCCTCTCAAGAGAGCTTAAGCTAATATTAATTTGAAAACTTCCCAGCCCATTTGGGCCAGATAATTTTTTTAGGACAAGTATATATTAAAATATATTTTCAATGATGTCATATCATCATTAGAAAGCAATAGAGACAACAGTTTTGTAGCAAATGGTACAATAATAGAGTTATGAACATTTAAAAAAAAATAATTTGGTAATTTTGGACCTTTGTAGCCACAAAAGGACAATTTTTCCCTTGACACCCCTATTATTTTAGCTTTCTTCACTACCCAATAATGCTTATAGTTTTTAAAAAGCAATGATTAAAATTTTACCAAAACTTAAAATATATGAAAGTGAAGTTATCCATTTTCTTTGTTCTTGAGAATAAACAACAGAAATGATAAATTATTTCTTAGATTATTTATTGGAATAGTTGGCTAAAGAGCAGCTAATTGCCAGAACGAATTACTTATAGTTGGTTTACATATTTTAATAATTTAGTAAATGATTATAAATTTATAAATAAAAATTGTTTTCATATTTATTTCTTTATAAATTGGTAAATGATAAATATTACATTAGTTTTAATACAATTGTATTAGTTTTCGGAATGTTGTAAATATAAAATTATTCTTGTAAATAAATTTAATAGTCTTTAATATTTTTGTTATCAAGTCTCAAGAGCAAAGAAAATGTATAAATTCATTTTTATATGTTTAGGTTTTATTCCATTTCTAATCATCACTTTTTAAAATAAACATTGCTGAGGAGTTAAAATAATAGCAGTGTCAAGGAAAAAAAAATTTTTTTCAAAACTATTTAAGTCTCTAGTTTTCAAAAAGGAGGGTGATGGGAACTTTTGCACACAGCTAATAAAAAAAAGGGTCAGAGAGAGAGTGAGAGTGTGTGTGTGTGTGTGTGGAGGGTCAATGAGAAAAGAATTTCATCTCAATACTTACAAAGCATCTTCAGCTCTAAATCGTGCTTCATTTGCACTAATAATAAAAAGTGGGAACAAGAGAGAAAAGACACAGCCACTGAAAAAGACAAACAGCATAGGTTATTCATTAATTAATTTCTTTTTAATTAATCCATCCCCAAGCAAGGTGATAAAGCCACCGAGATGCAAAGAGTTACTGAGCATGAAGGGAAATGAGAAAATGTTACTGAGAAGAAAGTACAATAAAAAAAAAAAAAAAAAAAAAAAAAAAAAACAGGATTCAAGGAGACAAGTTATTAATATTATTAATAGTTAAACCCCTCAGATGTCTTTAATCTCTCCTAGAAGATTTAGATAACATTCTCAACACAATGTATAGTCAGTGAGTGGGGTGGGGAGTGACCCACTTTCCAACATCTGAACATCATTTTTTTTTTTGGTCCTGTTGTATTTACTTTCTTGCTTTTTTTTTTTTTTTTTTAATCATTTCACGCCAAGCAAGGCAATAAAGCCACTAAGATATGAGGCGTTACTGAGTGTTAGTATGTGAAAAATAGAAATGTATTATTAAGGTAAGAGAATAATAAAAGAACAAGATTGAAGATAACAATTGACATTTAAAATTTTGAAGATTGTAGCTGACAGGAAGCTTGGAGATAGCTCCACAGATGAGATAGAGAAGAAACTATTAGCTGGGTGCTTGTGCTTACATCTGTCAATTTCAACAGCAAAATTACAAGAGCCAGCTGAAAATCTAATACTGTCATTAAGTTGAGGCACAAAAAAAAAAAAAAAAAAACCAAAAAAACCATATCACAACAATTTCAATGGAAACATTTATAGAAAAATGTGGAAGTAATTGAAGTTGAGATGCCATGTCAGGACTGATAACATTACAAATTCTAAATAGATATGCAATGTGATAGATTCTGTTCTGACATCTTGTCTACAGTCACTTTCTCACAGATGTGATGTGGCTTCCCTCTGTCTTTTCTACAAATATTTTCATGGCAAATTCTTTGACAAGCTACTTTCACTGGTACTCTAACTGCATGAATTTAAGCAATGCTACTAGATTGGCATTTCAGTCCCACTGTCGAAACAGTTAAATGTAACTGCCTCTCCTACTCCAACAGCTTCTTTCACACTTTCCAACAGTGGAACTCCCTTCCTATTACTTGTTTTCCTAATAGCTGTAATTTTCATATATTCAAATGCAATGTCAATCGACATCTGATGCCCTCATCCTGATCCCTGTCCTTCTGTATATCCTTTCCTCAAACACCCCTTTTTACTCTTGCTCTCACATTCTGTAACCCCTTGTGTGCTAGTGGAATTTCTGCCATGCTTGGGGTGAAATGCTTAAAAAATAAAAATAAAAAAAAAAAAAAAAAGAAAAGAAAAAAAGAGAGAGAGAATCATCAGACCAGATGTGGCAACAATAAACAATATTCAATGATGAGAAAAAAATTAATTAATATTGTAAATGACTTTATATTGTGAAAAGGAGTGATCTTTGCTTTGACTATCATTGAGAGCAGCATCAACCACAGGTTTCTCATTGAATAATTCTGCACATTTTTTTTTTAATTTATTAATTACTCACATATTTTAAAAGTTTGTTGCGTTGCAGTGGAATACAGGTATTTGCATCCCATAATCACAGTTTTTGTAGCTTGTCACTCGTACATGAATTTGATCAGTTATCAGTTGGGCTGCCATAGAGAGAGGCTACAATGTTGCAAGCCGACCACCACTTATGACCTACAACTTTACAGCATCATTGATGATGTATACTAGTGCATATAAACAATGCATTTTACCAATAAATGACAAATTATAATAGACACTTTTAACACAGGCATTTTGTTAAAAACTGAAGTTCACTATAATTCATCCTGGCTCCTTCACAGTACAGTTGGAACCGGATAGACCAGTCTCCCATCCATAATACCAGCACAATAAAAAGGAATGGTTGGCAAATACAATATCAGAAAAATATAAATGGAGCAACTATTCTATAAATAGAGATGCTTTTGAATTTTTTTTTTTAAATTGATTTCACCCTGAACAAAGCAGTAAAGCCACTAATACATAAAGGGTGTGGAAGAATTAGAAAACAGAAACTTTACTGATGGAGCAAGAACAATAGAAGGGTAATCTGGGAGACAGGTAGATAACGATTGACATTGCATTTAAATTTTTGGAGATTAAAGTTGACTGGAAAGTATTGAGCCAGAAGAGAGTTCCACAAGTAAGAAGTATGAGAAAAGAAACTTAGCATAGAATTTATGGCTACATCTAGCCAACTCAACTGTATATCGATGAGGCCTTAAATTCATAAAGTCGGGGTATCATAGCAAAGAATTCATCTGAACAGTTGCCATGAAAGTATTTATAGAAAAGGCACAGGGAAGCAACTTTATGGCAATGGGATGGGAAAGTGACTGATGCTTGCTGAGATGTCAGATCAGGACCAATAATATTGTTGATTCTTCTCTGGATTTTATCAAAGATCTCTAGACATATAGCAAGAGCACCAAAAAAAAAAAAAAAAAAAAAAATAGTACTGTCTATAAGACAAACACTGAAACAAGATAATGTTAAGATTTTTTTTTAATAAATGATATAACAAAAAGGTGGGGGATCTGTGCATTTTTTTTTTTTTTTTTTTACAGCAGTTATCTTGTAATGGAATGATAGAGAAAAAAAAAAGTAAAAAATGTTACCACTAACCTGACCAGTTGGGAAGAAAACATCAAAGTGCAGAGAGCAAGAGGTAAACCAAACCCAAAATAATAGGGCCAATTTCTTTCCACACATGAAACCCTCTGGTGAACTTCCCAACCTGAAAAGAAATAAAGGAGAGAAAAAAATTCCATCAAGTAATTTCTGTCTGAATTTCTGGGATGAGAAGTTATTATTTAAAGTCTGTCTAATGTCCTCATTTTTTTTTGTTGTTATTTTGGCCACTGTGCTCTCTGGTCTTCTTCAGGTTTTTATCAAACTAAACCCTATACTTAATCTATAATTCACATTGTGATCTTTTTGATACTTTGTCTTGTTCTTATTTAGTACTGCTCACCTATTGCTCATTCTCTTTCTACAGAGTCTTAAGACAACAATAGCCGAGCGGATTAAAGTATTGGTTCGTGAATTTGTTGACATAATGATAGTGAGTTCAATCTCAGGGTCAGATAACCTTCAGAAAATTTGGAACTGAACTCTTTATTCAATCCCATTAGATTCTTCTCATTTCACTGGCCAGGCCTGGGGATATTATCTTTTGTTCTTTTTAATACAACTCAGTCATTACTTAGCCAAATCTAAGTCTGCACTACCCAGCTCAGGGATTGAACTCAATTACTATGCCACCTAATTCACAAACTAATATTTTAATCCACTACAGTTATCTTCTATATAACACAATATGCTGCCAACTGCTATCATAGTGAAGTGAAAAAAAAAAAATCTTTCTCCCCCGCCTTAAATAAAAACTGGACCAAAATATTTGATGGTAATGTTCTTCTTGGTTTTTCTATTCCTTAAGTGATTCCATGTTAAAAAAAAAAAAAAAGACCTGTCTTTTGAGAAGCAAATACCTTTTTTTTTTTTTTTTCATTTACTTTTTATAACAAATCCAGAGTAGAATAGTAAATTGTTAGGATTCATTGATTCTGGTGTGAATAAAAAAATTACTTTATGCCAAAATAACATATCTGCCAAGTCAAGTTTTAGGACTGCAATCTCATCAAATTTACAACAGGTAACTCGGAAAATATTACTGCTACTGTTTATCGCTAACAAACAATCATAAAGCAGAAATGCAAATGTTGTGGTTGCATGTTCAAATCACTGATTCAACTACAAGGTAAACTTTTTAATTTCATGACTGGTTCTCTGTATAAAATCTTAAATCAAAGCTTATAAAAACTAAAATGATGACTTTGTAAACAGAACAATTATCATCTAAGATTGCATTGAAAAAAAAAAAAAAAAAAAAAAAAGGATATGTTATCGACTTGCCCACAAGCATACTTTTTTGTTAAATATTTTGTCTAATTTTGTGAGACGACATAAAATAGACTTTATATGTCACCCCCCACAAAAAAACAGGTAAGGACAGAATTATTTTTACATGTTTTATCTTGTTTTTATTGTTAATTTCATTTTATGTTTAATATTTAAATTTATCAATGATTCTCTTTCATAAGTACACATGGAAAAGATTGCCATGCAAGAGGATTTACATCATCCTTTTCTTTTGATAGTAATTTTCAATCTGTTTCCGCTTCCCCATGCTAGACAACTAGACTATCAAATTTGATCGCATATAAAAATCACTTCCTTCCATCCACACCACAAAAAAAGGTTCCAAATACCAAATATATTCCCTAGGTTGTCAAACTGAAGTGCCTGGTAGGTTAATGTTTATACATCAACCACTATTTGTACCAAACCTAACTCCATAATACTGTAATATTAAATATAAATAAGAGAGATCTGTTATATGCCATCAAACATGGTAGGATCCAAAGTATTTTTGCAGAAGGAGAAAATGAAAATTAATTTGGTTCTTTTTGTCTCCATGTAGTCTTTAAAATGGTTTTACTAAACTCCCAAAATAATACATGATAGAAACGATTTTTTTTTTTTTTTTTTTTTTTTAATCAGGAAGTATTGATAAGTTCTCAAGTCTGACTTCCCAAACTTTGTCCAAATTCATTCACTATCTGGTTTATTGTCACCATTGGATGGATGTTTTGGAAGTCTGTTTCATAGTACTTCTCCAGACATATTGCCTAAAGACATGTTTTCTTTCCTCTTTTTTGCTGATACTTTCTTAGGTGTCAATTCTTATTGGTATTTTTTTTTAAAGAAGGGCTTCTTGATTGAGCCAGAACTTCTCAGCACTTCAGTGTGTATTTGTAGTCAGACAATAACCAAGTTTACTGAAAGGATATTCAAAGTCAAAACAATTGTAACTCACCCATGTTGTACCACTTGTACTCAAATGCATAGGATGAAGATAAAAGTGACATGTGCAAAAGACCAATAAACATTCCAATACCTTCAATTGGAATTAGACTGGCTAACATACTCTGAAAAAAAGAGACAGAAAAAAACAAAAGGATTCATATTAGTCTAATAGAAATTTTGAAGAAAAAAAAAAAAAAATAGCATTATCATTCCAAGAATTATTCAGACAATTCTTTTTTTTGCTTTTGTTATTACTATATTTTAGCAAATCCCAAATTAGAGATATGGGGGTCTATATGCATCTCTACTGAGTATATTCTACTTGTATTTCATTTTTATCCAAGGTGCTCAATGAATATAATGGATAATCTATGGAAAAAAGAAATATTCTCCTTTTTGCACCCCCCACGTCGATGGGCATTATTATATCCAAGTTATATAATAATCCCTTATTTCACTGATGGAACAAAATAGTTAAAAAAAAAAAAAAAAAAAAAAAAAAGAATGACAAACATGCTTTGTTTTCAGAGTTTTATGCTGTTGAGTCATATACAAAATTATATATCCATATTTACAGGTGTCCAACACAGAGAAACTATAACAAACATATATGCAACAACAATGTGAAAAGGAGACAAAAAATATCAATTCTTTGCTATGTACAATATAATGATATATATGTTTATTACATTATCTCTAGTTTACTAAAGTAAAATTTAAAATTATATTATTTTTTTGCAAAGATCACAACTCACAAGCAGCAGCAGCAGCCCATAGAGACACATACCCGCTCAGACCACCTACACACAGATATAAAAATGGCACCACATGGTGTCTTAACAGTAATCTAGATAGCACTTTGAAACCAGCAAATCAGAAGTGACACACATGCTGCACAATGAATCAAACAACAGGCTGCACAATGAAAGGACTTTTAATTTACACAGTAAGACACTTAAAATCTACTTGAAACAAATAGACACTTTCTACACTACAAACAAAAGAGGACTTTTCCCTTTCTTGCAATTCACTTAAATTGTTTTATAAAATGTTTATTACAACATATTTGTTTATAATTATTTGTCAAACCTGCCTGCCTAAATGCCTTTCCACCAGTAAACTATGGAAAAAGAACCAGTAATTTTAGTACCTAACACTCTTACATTTTAATACTATACAAGCTCCAAGAGAAAAAAAAAAACACCCCCAGTTGAGCACTTTCATACACATTAGTCTTCATACAACCACTTTCCGACAACACCCAACTCTGCTGCTACAACCCCAAAATACCAGCCTCACACCAACATGGAACAAATAGAATTTAATTATGCACTAAAAAACATATCCACCTGAAACCATACACGACTATAAAATCAAGGTCACAAAAGAAAAAAATAAAAATAAAAACATTTCATAAAATGCATAAGATGGAAAGTATTCTGCTTCCTTAACAAAGACAAAACTGACAACAACAATAACTTTGGATTTTTGTCAACAAAATGCCGATTATAGCAGTGCAACCTTATTGCATTTGAAAACGACATAATAAAGTAGAAATAAGAAAATCAAACATCAAATTCAAAAAACCATTGAAAAAAAAGATCAAAAAATGATAAACAAATTAAAAAAATAAAAACTATATACAAGCCAACAAATCTATAATCACCTACAAAATGGACACCAACTATACAAAATTTAGTTGAAAAAGAAATCACCAAGTTCTATAAAACCACTAGCAACAATACAGAAAACAATACAAAGAAGGAAGCAAAAAATATAGCCACCAAATTAAAACTAGACAACAGAATCAAGCAACTCGCAAAACTAAAATCATTCATCAAATTAAATGACCATAAGGACAACTTCTTAAACAAACCAACATGAAGATTAAACCCTACATCAGAAAAATAAGAAAACGAATAGTAGGGGGAATATGTTCAAAACTAAGGAGCAAACTAGAAATAAACCAAGGGAAAAGCACAAAAAAAACAAAACATCAAATGGTTAAACAATATCAACAACAAAGAAGAATTTGTACAATTGGACATAAAAGACATCTACCTATCCATCAATGAATGCATACTGAACAATGTGCTAGATGTAACAAAACAACATATAAGCATCCCAGAGGAAGACCTAAACATCATCAAACACTGTAGAAGGTCTTTACTATACAAGAAAAAAATATGGTCAAAAAACGCAACATTAATAACAAAAACAATGCCAATAATGATTACAAATTTGACATAACAATGGGCAGTTATGACAGTGTAATTATGTGCAAACTAATAGGCATACATATCATCAACAAAAAAATATAGGTCTATACAGAGATGGACAAATAATGCTAAGGAACTGTAATAGTAGAAACAAAAAAAAAAAAAAAAAACAAATCATAGAAACCTTCAACACACTAGGAGTCATAAAAATCAAATCTAAAAGTAGTAAATTTCTTAGATATAAGATTCAATTTAAAAAACAATGCATACAAACCATAAACAAAAGCTCCAAACACATTCAAACACATACTTATATCTATAAACAAATCAGCGAATTCTAGCAACATTAAAATATTCAACCAAAAAATAATAGCTATTCAAAAACTAGAATACATAAATGAAAACAAACCAAACAAAAACAGAAAAAGAAACAATCTGGTTTAACCCACCCTACAATAATACAATAAAAACAAAAATAGGAAAAATATTCTTCAATATAATTGAAAAACATTTCCCCTAATACAACTATCAAAAAACATTAAAAAAAAAAAAAAAAAAAGTTAAAATTTGTTACAACTGCATGAGCAGGGAGGAAATAACCAAACAGAATAAAAAAAAAAATACTCAACAAAACCAGTAACAACAACAAAATAAACCAGTAAAGCAACATCAATAAATGCAACTGTTGAAACAAAGAAAACTGCCCACTTAATAAATGTTTAACCAACAATATAATATATAAAGCCATCATACCAAACAACATTAACACAGATAAAAAATTTACATAGGAGCCACAGAAACAACCTTCAAAGAAAGATTTAAGAATCAAAAAACATCATTTAAAACAGAAAAATACAAAAAACACACAACCCTATCAAAATACACATGGAACCAGAAAGAAAATAACATCACCACCAAAATTAAATGGCAAAACATAAAAAGAGGACCTCTGCAATAACAGAAACTGCACCTGGAGGAAAAATTAACAATAATTACCTTTAAAAACCAAAGCAAACAACTAAACAAGAAAAACAAAATAATGGGAAACTGTAAACATTCAAATAAATATTTTATTACTTAAATACCAATACAAAGAGAAACAAATAAACACAATACAAAACAAAACAAAAAAAATTATATGACAAAGGAAGAAAGAAAAGAACACTTACAACCCCCCACCCCAAAAACCCTCCCCACACACACCAAGCCCACAAAGGAATATACATAAACAAACATCAGCAAATATCAACAAAAAAAAACAAAAACAAAAACAAAAAAAACAGCACACACACACACAAGAACAAACACCTAACCATGAACTAGGGTCAGCACAATACAAAACAAACAATCACCAAGAAACCATACACCACTTAAGAAACAACAAAAATGTTAATAGATAAAAACGGATAATACAACCCCCATTAAGTGAAAAAAGTAACACACTCAAAGATATCAAATTACACCAAACTATACATAAATATGAAGAGGTTGAAAAGTAGCAGAAGAGAAGCCAATGACCCTGAAGAGTGAAGGCATTACAACAATACACTCCCAAACCTCAAAGTTAACATGACTGAAATAACCCCAGTTAAGTGAGAACTTTCTACCCATTGTCTCTCACCAATACACACACATATTATATATATATATATATATATATATATATATAGATAGATAGATAGATATGTTGATTAAGATTGAAATTTATAATAAACAGATTTTTACTATAGTGCTCAATATTTGGAATAGATAAATTTGATTTTTGAATACAAAAAAATTACGGTAATTATCTGTAATTGTGCATATCAATTTCCCCACCTCCATAGTTTCAATGTAAACACAAAAATTAAAAACGAACACAATTGTAAACATTTCATATAGGATAAAACCCTTGAAAAGTTGACACAGTGTCATGAAACTGCAGAGGTGGGGGAACTGATATGCAATTACGGATAATTACAGTAAGCAATTTTGTGTATCCAAAATACATTTTTGATATATATATATATATATATATATATATATATATATATATATATATATATGTGTGTGTGTGTGTGTGTGTGTGTGTGTGTGTGTTATGGTTAGCCATGTCTATATATGTAGTATAAGCAATGGTTACCAGATAGCTATAGATGTTAACCATTTGACAACATTTATTAATTTATCAAGTCCTCATAAATGGTGTTATTCCAGTGTTTATTGATGCAATAGAAATCCACAAAATATGGGTATTTAAAATCTTTTGTGAAACTGTCTGGATATTTAAATTAAATATGATCCAAAAATAGAACAGGGTGATGATTTTTAAATAAAGTAGAATTCAATAAATCCATAATTCCAATCCATGCTCTCTTGTTTGGGCCCAAATCAATTGTGTTTGATTTTAATTTGTTATTAGTTCACCCGGACAAAGAAAAATGACAGTAATATTGCAACTGCATTGGTTCTATTTTTTGCAAGAATAATCAAGAATTTTTCTTAATACAATTAAGTAATTTTATGTAAGAAATAAGTCTCCATTTTTAAAATCATTAAAAGTTAAACCTCGCAAAAAAAGCTAACATGAAACAAAAGAAATAAAAGGTAATATATTAGTAACCTGGTCTTACACACTAATTAAATATTCAGTTGTTATGGTAACAGGAGGCACATTTACATAATCTCCTCCCTTGCTGGTGACAGGAGCACATTTGTGCATTCCTTTCTCTGTCCACCAGTGACGCACACATTTGCATATTGTTCTCGTCTGCCAGTGATACATGGCTAGGTTTGTATATTCCATGGCACTAGTGAAAGAGGTGTCAGGTTACGCCTAATATTTGAAACTGCTCCTAGAAGACACTCGCAGGACTATAAATATTCTACGATATTTTTCTCACCCTCTTACTTTTTCTGCTTACTCATCAACATGTAAATCTCTTGTGGAGAACGTTTCCTTTGGGAAAACTCATGAACAATACATACATACACACACACACACACACACACACACACACACACACACACACACACATTCATTCACTACACATGCTTTGGACCAAAAAGGTTTTCACATTCATTTGGCACATACATCTTTGTCACTTGTAACCCGTAACCCTTTACTGTTAATACATTATCATTTGTTTGTACATAGCAAGTCATCCCATAAGTGCTGTTCAAATTTTAACTTTTTTTAAAATGAACAAAATTTAAAGAGTATTTTATAATGTCTAATGGAGCTGAACATTATTTTTATGTTTAAATGCATTTAAACTGATCAAATTTTATTTCAGAGAACAATAAAATTAGATTTTGTTTGATTAAAACCCTGTTAACATGGAAGTACCCAAGTTGAGGCACATAATGCTTTATGAGTTCAAGAAAGGAAACTCAGTAGCCAAAGCAGCTCAGTTTATGGAGAGGAATGTGTGAATGAAAGAACTTGCAGAAGATGGTTTGCAAAATTCAGAGGTGGAGATTTCTCCCTTGAAAATGAAGATTGAACTGGACGTCCAGTTGAGTTTGATGAAAAGCTTCTTGAAGCAGCCCTTGAAGAAAATCCTGCTTTATCAGTTGAGGAATTGGCAGTGGTTCTCAATTCAAACCATACAACTGTTCATTGTCATCTTCAACAACTTTGAAAATTTCCTAAACTTGGAAAATGGGTGCCTCATGAATTGTCTGAAAACAACCTCAAACCCCGAGTTGACATCTGCTCTTCTCTCCATTCTTGCCAACTTGTTTCACCTTTTTTGGATAGACTTGTGACGAAAAATGGAGCTTTTATTGAAATGTTAAGCATCATAGACAGTGGCTTGGTAAAGGGGAAGGACCCCAGCTACAGCCGAGAAGGGAACTGCATGAACAAAAGGTTCTTCTTTCAATCTGGTGGGATCGCCAAGGAATAATCCACTTTGAATTCTTACCACCTAATGCAACAATTAATACTCAAATATACTGTCAGCAATTAGAGTGTTTGAACCAAGCTTTGAGAAAAAAAAGACCTGCTCTAGTGAATTGAAAAGAGGTGATGTTTCATCAGGACAATGCGTGACCCCACATAGCAAGAATCACGTCAAAAAAGATCAAAGAACTTGGTTGGGAGAAAATTCCTCATCCCCCTTATTCTCCCGATCTTGCTCCTTCAGACTACCATTTGTTTCGTAGCTTACAGAATCATTTGGAAGAAACAGCTTTTGTAACACAGGAAGAGATTAAAACTGACATTTGTGAGTTCTTCGAATCAAAGCCAAAAGAATTTTACAGTAATGGAATTAGTAAGCTTGTTAATAGATGGAAGGAAGTCATAGATAATCAGGGAAAATACATTGTTGATTGAATCTGTAATTAAATGTAACATTTGGTCACTTGTTTTCTTTATTCAAAATTCGGACAGAACTTATCGGATGACCTGATATGTATCAGTTCTTGCCATTTCTTTACATGGACTCACATCCCAAGTCCCCCATATTTGCTGTGGGCATTTCTGAAGACATGTGTTTATACAATGGCCCACACCAGAGGAAATCTTTGCATATTGAATCCACTTACCATAGCAATGGCATATCTCATTACCAAAAAAAATGTTTTATATTATAGAATAAACTGTAAAACAGACCCAAAAATCCACAGCACAATACCCCATCCTTAACAGCAGCTTTCTCCATTTCAAAGTTCTAGCTCACAAATGACAAAAACAGCAGATGGGAAAAAAAAATATCTGAATTAAGAATTACCACCTGAATGAGAAAGATCAGATGAAGCAAGATACTGAAGCAGGTATCAGCTACCATTGTACTGAATGGTAGATGACGTGGACGGCCAAGAGTGGTTTTGTAAGCTTGGTCTGCAATATCCTAGGAAGAAGAAAAAAAAAAAAAGAAAATTTTTATATTCAGGTTAACAAATCATTTTTCTGTTTGTGCTTCTTAAATCAACAAATAAGATGAATTATTGCATACTAGTTTTAACCTGTGAAAATTTCACAATTTTCCTATTTTAATATTCTGTTAAATCTTAATTCTAATAACAATCATAAATATGAATAGTGGAGCACTCGGACATGGTGTAATGGTTAGCAAGTTTGTTTTGCTAGAACAATTACGACTGACTAATGAGTTTGATCCCCATACTTTTGGCCTTATGCCACGTCTAAGCTATGCTTAAAAAAAAAAAAAAAAAAAAAAAAAAAATCGCCATAAATATGAATGCTGGTTGTTATTTTAAGGAGTAAGAAGGTACAAATGAAAAGATTTGAAATTGACAACTTTTGCATTTCATTGAAACAGCCGTTAAACATGTCTATCTTCCCTTCTTTCTTTCATTTATTTTCTCACTGAAACCAAGTAGTGTCTTTTCCGGCTTTCGATATGATCATAATGGAATAGCCCATTATTTATGAGGTATTGGCAGGACATAACAGTTGTGCGAAGTAATGAAAAGAGAGACAAGCACACTTATAATAGGATATTTCATGAAGTACTGCACATATTTCATGAATAATTTCAACTAACATTCTGCTATTTCTCGTTTAACTCATAAGATCCTGCTGAAAATTCTCTTGTTGAATGTACATAATACACAACGAAAATGAACAGTAGAAGGGATTGGAGTTCAACGCTTCTTGTAAAATGAATGGAAACCTGGTTAGAATGATTCACCTATGAACTGATCGGCTGATGCACAAATGATGAGGATCATTGTATATAACATTAAACGTTTAATATCAGCAATTTGACTGAACACTGCAAGATGAAAAGAAAAAAAAAAGTTGTGAGTGCTTTCTAAACACTTAGGAACTGCACTGAACCCCAAATGAAAGGCAAGTGGAGTATTTTATTTTTATTTTTCTAATGTCCACCCAATACAAGGCCTAAGAGCCATTCAAGGTCGAGGGTTATTGTGTGGTGTAGTATGAGTAAGAAAAGGCAAGAAGTGAAGATCTTGGGGCTATGCAGGAAAAATAATGGCTAACTTTAAATGAAGAGGTCAAGATTTAATTAGTTAATAAAATTTCAGAGTTCAGTTGGAGACGTTAGAAATATAGAGTGGAAGTAAACGTTAGGAGCCGGAAACCCAATCCTAAACAGTTTTTTTTTTTTTGTTTAGAGGCATATCAACTCCTTATGGGTTACTTAATGCCAAAATTTAATTTTCTAGGGAGCATTAGTAATTTCTTTTACAAAAATATATTGCTAGAAATTTTTTTTTTTTTTTACAAAAATGTATTGCTGGTATTTTTACTATAAAAATGTATTTTTATACTTTCATAGCATTTTGTCCTGTTTGGAGGTTAACTATTCACGCATAGCTGGGACCCTAACAGGTGCTACCACCCCAGCTCAGGGTGGATTTGGGGGACAACAACAATCAAGAAGTGGTTCCACTCTTCTCAAAATATCCTAATCAGAGGCCTTACTGCTAGATGTAGTTTACTGTCAATACCCAGAACGAAATTCTAAATAGGAAACAAGGGATAAACATCTACCCCTATTAAAAAAATCTGTGTGAACCGGATGATAGGCAAACATATCTACTATGAGTTAACAGATGTTAGTAGTGCACTCACTGTATTTACCAATCAAGTGCAAACTTAAAATTAGTAGAGGATGCTGCTCTTCCTTTGCTACTGTGGTGAGATGAAAGTGAAGTATCCTTTCTAAGATACGGGTCCGGGCAAGATTTTTTTTCTTTTTTTGTTTTTTATAGATCTACAATTACCCATGTAGTACACATCCACATTACTAATATTGTCCAAGGGAAAAACAGGGGTTGATACTGCTTAGTATATTCGTGGTGTCACAGATGATCCCAGCATATGAGATGCAATGTCAAACTGTGTTTTGAGACTCAGGTTCCAGATTTTATCCTTGGCATTTACTCCCAAAGCCTTTCTCAGGATTGGGTATGGTCACCAGACATCTCCAGATAACATGCAACAAATTATGCATACTAGACTACTTGGAACCAGGAGCAAGGTTTAGGCCTTGACCTAACCTCTCGGGGAGAAGTGGAATCATGCTTTTCTCAAGAGTACTAGAGCAAGGTAAACACAAGCTATGTCAACATGAACTTGAACTGTTTGCCAATTCTATTTTCCAATGTTATTAACCATTAAGCTAACTCTGAACTTCAATATACAATAGGAATAAAACTATTCACATTATTTTATTTAGCAAGGCACTACAAGTCACCAGTGATCTCTATTTTTATTACCCAGTTACAGCATCACAGTTGTCATCTTTTTATGTTAAGAGTTTGTCAAAGTTAAATGTTGACATCAAAGCTTGAAATTGACAAAATGACAAACGAAGGAGGGGGTTGTCGGTAATACAGAGTGAGAAGACTTAAATGAAATCAACACAAATGAAAGATAGATTTGTTTACCTGGAACCAAAAACAATTGACTATTTTACTGACAACAAATAATGGAAGAACCCAGAGAGTGTTGAAAGTCCACGAAAGTATTCGATTGATCCACATCCAAACAGCTCCATCATAGATTGTTTCACCTATAAAAGAGAAAAAAAAATTACTCAACATGTGGGCAACAACAAAAGTTTTAGAGGAAAATGGAAACAAAAAGGACACTTATATTTAACATCAGAAAGAAACAGTTGGAAATTCTAGGGCACATAATGAAGAAGGAGGGCTTGGAAAATTCGATACTCACAGGACTGATTGAAGGCAAGAGAGAGAGGAAAGCAACATATAACCTACCTAGCAAGTTTGAGTAAATGGATGGCGAAACAAAGTTTAAGATAAAAGACAAAATTTATTAAGGGCTACAAAGGACAGGAAGTTGTGGAGAGCCATGACTGTCAAAGTCCTGAAGGGACATGGCATGAAGAAGAACCAAACCATTGCTTAATAGACAAATTTATATGAGGTATGGCTGTCAAACAAGACTTTATATGTCTTGCCCACTGGGCAAGTATGAGTAATCCCCGAAAGTTTCTATCAGCTTGCATCTGCTGTTACCAAGCAGCAATTGAAGTAAGTATTTTCTTGACACATCATAAAATTTGTCAGTTCAAAATAATTTTGGTGAAAAAAAACCAAAAAAAAAAACAAAAACTAGAAGCAAAAAATTGCCAAGTTGTTGCAATCATCATACCAAACACTCTCATTGATAGAATGACAAATCAAAATCCAAAAAGGAGAAATTTCCATGAGGAAACCATTTGCCCCATTCCATAGGATATCGGGTATACATTCATATATTTTATTAGTATTGCAGATATAAATGAGCTATTTTCAAAACAAAATCAATTGCTGTGAACTAAACAACTCAAAAGCCAAAGTTTAGTTCTCCAGAAATATGGCCTTGTGTCAGACTTAGGTTAGTCCAAATAAATGAAAAGGAGTTGTTGAAAATATATATGGTTTTAAAAATAACCCAAAACTAAAGATAAATCTGTCTTGAAAGACAGACTTGTTAAAACTTCAGTGTTTTTGAAAAAAAACAAAGAGGAGAGAGGGAGAGAGTCAATTATAATATTCAATGTGGAAGTTACAAAATACCAAAAATAAATAAAAAGTTAACTTACCAAAAATGAGACGAATCACTTCCTGCACAATTGGTAATAAGACATAATTGAAACCAACAATACTGGCCTGAAACATAAGCAAAGAGAAACTGGAGAAAATTTTTTTAAAAATTAATCAACAATTTCAATAAAATAGATAAAAAGAACTGCAAATAACCATCTTTGTCAAAAAAAAAAAAAAAAAAAAAAAAAAAATCTTGTTTTAAAAGTCAGCCTTCAGCCTAAAACATGAGTTACGGCTTCAGAATGAACTCAAACAGTGATTCTGAAGCTTTTTTTTCTTTTTTTAAATAAAGCATCACATCCTCTTGAAGACTTCAAAATATTTCTAATATTCCTTAATCTTAAGACTAACAGTTTAAAATAAAAAAAATGAAAATTATCAAATTTAATATTAAAAAGTCTGAATAACAAAATGTTCAAATTTATCAAATATCAAAATTAAAACTTTCCATCATGATATTAACAAAATAAATAAATTTTATATCAAAATATTATTAATAAAATTATTAAATGCACTGGCTGCTGCTGCTTCTTAACTTTGAAATGTGCTCCATTTTGATAATGAGAGTGATCCAAATGCCATGTTGAACATCCAGCCAATTTCTGAATTTTGTCTTTATATCAAGAAAGAATTAAAACTGTCAAACAGAAGAATTACTCCAAACTTTATTTTTATATGTCAATGATTTCTTCCTTCAAAAGCAATATAATTATGTAAAAAAAATGTTTGGCACACTTTTCTTACGTCCCTGACATACAACTTGTTATTTTTCAATCTCTTCATACCTTTCTCAGTCTGTGAAAAGCATCTGCCACTATTCCTATGCACCTTTGAATTTTGCTATCACATTTTTCTTCATTACACATTTCATAGCCAAATTTTTGCATGTGCTTAAATTTGACATCCCTAATGCATAACATCTTGGACTTCCCATTTTGCTAATTACCATGCATTCTATCTTCATACAATTAATGATTAGTCTTTCTTCTTATTCTCTTCAACTACCTTGTCTAATTGTTCTTTCAGATTTTGTTCTGAACTTGACATTCATCTCCTCTAAATTCTCTTAGAATCATATCACTGTAAGTGTTAAATATATCTTGTGAGAAAACAAATCCTTGTTATATTCCTCTTTCTTTTTTGTTCTACTTCAGAGTACAAAATACAGTGAATGGGTTAAAAAAAAAAAAAAAAAAATGATTTGAAGGTTATAAAAAAACAACTTTGCTTTTGTGTTATTGTAGATAAAATCATTTTTTGTTTTGGGCAACATTTTTTTATACTTCAAGGATGTGCAACTAGTGTAAGAGTCGCTTAGAACAAGAAATCAGAAAGTTGAATTCAAATTCCAGTTGAGGTTCATTATATTCATTTTTGTGCAAATACTCTTGGGAAAGAGGGAATGGAGAATTTAACACTCACAGGTAAGAGGGAAATAATGAGTAACCACCCCTAATGAGCTTGTGTAATGAAGAAAAGAAACTTTGTTTTTTTTAATCATTTCACCACAAGCTAGGCAACAAAGCCACTAAGATGCATGGAGTTACAGAGCATGAAAGAATATATAAAAAAGAAAAAAAAAGAATAGGAATTAAGAACACAGAAAAAACGATTGATTTTGCATTTAAACTTTTGAAGATCAAAGTTGACAGGAAAACAAGAAACCGGAAGAGAGTTCCATAAGTGAGAAGTGCAAGAAAGTGTTCGCATAGAACTTACTGTTACATCTAGCCATTTCAACTGTAAAATAATGAGATCTTGCTGCCAATCTAATACTGCTTTTAAATTCAGAGACTAGGTAGCATAGAGGAAAGTTCATCAGAACAATTATCATGAAAGGATTTATAGAAAAGGTACAAGGAAGCTATGTTACAGTTATAAGAAATTGACTGAAGCTGAGATGCATACACAAAATTATATACAAACATTTACACGTGTCCTACACAGAAACTATAACACATGTATACAACAGAACAATTAGTGTGAAAATGAAGATAAATAGGGCCTTACTTGTAATAATTCCCAACGAAAATTCAAGCTTCTGGAGGATTTTTCTGTGTTTCTGGAGAAACCATATTTATATTTCCCAACAGGGATTCAAAATGGTGAACGGTGAGTCATGGGTATTTCCCAACAAGAGAGCTGCGAGCTAGAAATAATTTCCATAACTAGTGAGGACATGTTTCCCAAAGAGAAAACAGTGCTGCAGCAGCTGGCTGACCTAGAAAGAGGTTTTGACTTGCCTCACCTATGCGAACAAACAACCCATGTGTCTTGACTCCAGACAGCTAACTGAATGACCATTTCTGTCATTCTATGAACTGACATCAACAAGTGGCCATCCCATGACCCATGGAACGTCATCTCAATCAAAAGAAGATGATCCTTTTTTGCATCACTATAGTGTCATGCAGGATGTTTCCTGACATCTTTGGAACAAGTGAAATTACTTGGCAGTGCTCACCTCTGTTCCAAATAACGTGACAAGAATTACTGTTTTATGTGATACACCAACAAAGAAGGATTCCTCTAGTGATGGGACAGTGTACAAGCGAAAGTAGAATCAAGTTTTTACTAAATTTTGCCCAATATAAGGCCCAAGAGCCACTCAAGGTAGAGGATTAATGAATAAAGTATGTCATATAAATTTCCATCCCTTACACACTTTTTATAACTACTGTTGTACCTAAAGCAACTACTGTTGTACCTAAAGCAACAACAGTTGTGTCACCTGGATAACCTTCACTTGCTAAGAACCTATCTGCTTGATGAGGCACAGGTATCATTTGATTCTCTGTGTGTGTGGAAGGGGGGCTGAAAAGTTCTCAAACCAACCCACTTCCTAAAATCTTGAAGCTTCATTCATCTTTATTCTCTTTGCCTTTGCTAGTTTCACAGACTATCAATTGGTAAAATATCACTGATTATCAGGCATTTTGGGTTTTTATCCATTGGATGTAGTAACCAAAAAAGAAAAAAAAATAGTATAATGCAAAATATTTACTTACCAAAAACACTCCACCATTCCAAAAGCAACACGAAAGAATATTTTTCATCAAAGAAGGTTCACTATATTGAAGAAAAGAAAAAAAATAATCTCTGTATCAGCTGAGGTAAAACAAAGTTGGAAAAAAAATCACTCAAGTATTAATTATTGTATATAAAAAAAAAATGTGATCTTTTCAGAATGTTTCACTATTTGTAACTTGTTACACTAAATATATAATAATATAATAAAGCTATATAGAATTAATATGTGAATCCTTCCCTGATTTAAACCTCTGACCTGGAGAGCAGTAAGCAAGTCACATATACACTATGCTGGCATTTTGTTGTCTGAATGGTATGATAAAACTATCTTACAAATATTTAGAACATACATTGATCGTAGGCATAGGTATAGGGTGTAATATTTTGATCCTAGACAGAGCACACATATACTAGACTGATCCTAGGATAAAGGCCAGAGAATGATAATTTGATTCTAAGCAATGATAAGCCATAATCTTGTCATTTTTTATGGGTACTATACTAATTTATAATACTTTAAATCCATACACATAAGTGATTTACTTTGTCAAATTAGTACCTCAAATTATAACAAATGCAATGGAATAACTAATTTTGGAAAAGATACCAAATTAAAGGAAAGACATGGCTGCAAGCAATGGGTTTTTTTTTGGGTTTTTTTTTTTACTGTAGATTAACATACAAATTTAATTTTTAAAATTAACTTATTAGAATAATGAAGAGGGAGAAAAAGTGGAGAAAGTGTGCAAGGGAATGGAGGTGGGAGGAAAGCAGGAGAAAGGACACCAGGGAAAGGTTGGTGAAGTGCCAAAACAGTGGGTGGATGGAAAGTGAGAGAAAGAGATCTGGGGTGGGGAATGGGAGGGGTCAAAAAGCAGGAGAAAGAGGGGATTGGGGGGGGGATGGACAAAAATTGAGAGAAAGAGTGCCAGAGGGGATGGGGGTAGAAAGCAGATGAAAGAAAACCTAAGGGCAAAATAGGAGAGATGGAGCTGGGGATGTGGAGGAGGGGAGAAGAATTAATGATTAAATAAGATCCAAGGGACATAAAAAAGAAACATAACATTTTTTTTTTAACTCTTATCAACATTACAAAATGCCCATTACTTATTAATTTATACTTGTTGAACTATTTTTATAATTTTCAAATGTTTAATATATAAATTTTTATTTATATTTTTTTTTTTTTTTACAAATGAAAAAAAGAAAAAAAAAAAAAAAAGAAGCAAACATCAAAAATGTTTATCAAGTAAAAGAAAATCTAATTATGACTAAAATTTAAAACTAACTTACTTGTTCCTTTTCTTCTTTTTTTCTTTTTGTTTCAAAGATGATTCAATGCAAATGTTGTAAAATTTAACTGTTCCACGGAGAGAATCACAAATTCCTTTAAAAGTGCTGCCACATATCACTTGCAGAGAATTGGGAGGCATCTTTTACACTGGCAACTCTTTGAAGATTTCACAGTAAGCAGCATCACCAACATAAACAATTCCTAAATAAACAATTAGGAAACAGTGCAAGAAAACTAGGGTTCAAGAGGTCAAATAAACACAGGTGTAAATAAGTAAAAATAGAATAAAAAGTAATCAAGAAGATTAGGATAGAAAGATGATAACTTTGATTAGCAGGATCAGGGTAGAAGGATGAATAAAAATTCAATAGGTATTCTTAAAAATATTGTCTCTTTTATATTTAATGACCACATTTTTTAATGTATAAATAACCTTTTGTATATGTAACTGTTGTTGTGTAGCTGATCAGTTGAAAGTGTTTGGAAAATCATAATCTTTAGTCAAATGTAATTTTAACAAACCAAATAATAAAGAAAATTGTTTATTCAGCTCTCTTTCCAAGACAGGACCCCTTCTTTCCAATTCATTATCCCTGGATATTGTTGCTTCCTTCTTCAACTCACTGAACCCTAGAACATGACCCCCAGCTTGCCAATACAGTATCCCTAGACATTGTCAGACCGCTGAACCCTAGAACATGACCCCCAGCTTGCCAATACAGTATCCCTGGATATTGTCAGACCGCTGAACCCTAGAACATGACCCCCAGCTTGCCAATACAGTATCCCTGGATATTGTCAGACTGCTGAACCCAATAGAACATGACCCCCTAGCTTGCCAATACAGTATCCCTGGATATTGTCAGACCGCTGAACCCTAGAACATGACCCCCAGCTTGCCAATACAGTATCCCTGGATATTGTCAGACTGCTGAACCCTAGAACATGACCCCCAGCTTGCCAATACAGTATCCCTGGATATTGTCAGACCGCTGAACCCTAGAACATGACCCCAGCTTGCCAATACAGTATCCCTGGATATTGTCAGACTGCTGAACCCTAGAACATGACCCCAGCTTGCCAATACAGTATCCCTGGATATTGTCAGACCGCTGAACCCTAGAACATGACCCCCAGCTTGCCAATACAGTATCCCTGGATATTGTCAGACCGCTGAACCCTAGAACATGACCCCCAGCTTGCCAATACAGTATCCCTAGACATTGTCAGACCGCTGAACCCTAGAACATGACCCCCAGCTTGCCAATACAGTATCCCTGGACATTTTGGATACTTCCTTTTCTAATAACAGAACAAATGAACAGCAAAGAGGTGGAAAAAACTTGTACAGCTCAACCGATTTAGTATATTTACATGATAATTCTTTTTGCTGATTAGAAACCAGAGCATTTTATCAGTAAACACTTGTCATTTATGCAGATGGAATAACATGAATATGAAGTGTTAAATCTTTTGGCAAGTGTCCAGGGTTTATATTTAAAATGACTCATTCCATCAAAATGACAGCAGACATAAAACTGAGTTTTTAAAGTCCTCCTCAGTATTAAGTTTCTTATTAGAATTAAGTTTTTCAACTAGCTTTGGACAGACAAACTACATGTTATCTCTCAATTGTGTTTCTGCCTTTGGACAGTTCACAAAAAATTATTGAGGTGTGCCTGCTCCCAGGGATTCTAACCCAACACACATGGACATGTTACATCCAAAATGTCAAGTGTCTACCCACCTCCACTGTAAGGAGGGTAAATAATAATTTCTCATTAGAAGCCTACAATAATCATCATATCAATTTTAAATTTAATCTGTATTAAATTTAAAATATTATAAAATTATTTAAAGAAGAAACTGAGGAAAAATACATATATTTTATTACTTATTTTGTTTTAATTGAAAGGCCAAAAACTCAGAATAAACGTTGAAAACCTAATGGAGATGTGAAGCTTCATTACAACTAAGATACATTTGAAGTGGTGATATGGGCAGGGGAGGATGAATTCTTGCAAAAGACAATACATACACAATCAGATTATAATACACAAACATGTAGATGTATTTAGATATATAAATATGCAAAAAACACAAACCAAAAAAGGAAATAGATGTCCACGACCCTAAAAAATAACAGACAACATATACATACAATCAAAGGTGATCATAAGCGATCATACACACATACATTAAAGACAAACACACATAAACACCTACAAATATTCAAGTTTGAAAGTGTTAGTAAATGAATTCAAACAGACTAATAAAATATTACTTACATGGACAAAGATATATAGATAAAAAGAGGGTTCAATACATAAAATTCAAGAGAGACAGAATAGAAAAACAAATATTTGACAATGAACAATGGAAGGAAAATACAATAAAATATATAGAAATGGACAGTAAAAAATATATACACACACACACACACACACGCGCACACAAAAAAAACCAAAAAAAAACACCAAATTCAAACGTCCAGGCAAAATGCAACACTTAAAATAAAACAGTTAATATATAAAAAGAAAACACAAACAAACAAATATATATAAATATCTTATACATACTTATATATGCATGAGTACACATACACAAGTAAAAATACATAATATATATAAAAGTACATACATCCGTATGTGTACGCATATTCATCACTACAATATTTTATTAGTCTGTTTAAATTCATTTGCTAACACATTCAAACTTGAATATTTGTATATTCTTTTAAGATTTAATATGGAGTGAGTGTTTTTATGAGGTGTTAACAGATCTATTGATAGCCTAAGCAATTTAAATAAGGAGTACTTAATGGAAAAAATTACTTGAATACAATATGAATGTCTTTTTTATATACTTGTTTTAACTACCCAGTGATCTTAAAAATTTAAGAACATTTTTTAAGCAATCTAACATTTTATTGAATTTTAAACACTTTGGATTTATAGTCTTACTTGATGCTTGTTGAAGAAATGTTAAAAAAAAAAAAAATTACCAATAAATTTCAAATTTACTACAGTTATCACTCTTATTTTTGATAATGTCATGTATAGACATCTGTATTTACAAAAATCAATACATTCATACACACATAAAATAATTTTAAAATTATTTACATTATTCGGACTATTGTCCTCATCTTTGTCGCCATATTTATTACAATGTTTCGGATGTTGTACACTCCAGCCTTCTTCAGGTGGTTGGAATATCGAACTGAACACTTTATTTTGCTCACTGGGGTAGACTGTTCCATGATGTAAATGGATGCTGCTGTGGTTTTTATACTAAGTATGTTTTTATAGGGTGGAACTGCTATTCCCATACACAACCAGTTTTGAATTCATAGTTGTCCTTCTAGACTGGCTGCCAACCAAAGCTAAAGAGCACTACTATTTAACCCATAGTTGGGGAGAAGAGACGAATTTGCACAAAAGTGAATGTAACAAACAAAACAAAAAAAAAAAAAAAAAAAAAAAAAAAAAAATGGAGCCCAGCTTGAAATTGAAATGTATCACACAAAAACATTTCCACTTTGTTATAGATCTTTCCTCTCTCTCTCTCATTCTATCATATATGTATATTTTTTTTTTTACAGCAAAAAAAAAAAAAAAAATTACCTCAACATAGTATAGTCAAGCTCTCTGTGGACCAGTTTTAATAATTAACATTATTAGGATCCAACCGGATTATATATCAACGGATCAATTACCTGTACTAATATATTTTCATAATAATTCATCATGTCTAGGCCTAGAAACCTCAAAATAATGTAGAAAAGTACTGAACGGCCACTTCATCCTATTTTTGGGACTCATCAGTAGTGCGCATCCACTGCTGAGAATTGAACCCAGACCTTTATGATACAACACAAGCATCATGCCATTGAGCTAACGGACCTCGGTGATGAAGAGGAAACTAAGTAACTAGCTACAATATAGCATTCTGTTGGTGTTTCTAGGTCGAGACATGATGAATTATTTTTCAAAATCCCCCAAATAACTATTCTGTGTGTGTGTGTGTATATATATATATATATATATATATATATATATATATATATATATACATACACACACACACACACACACACACACACACACACAGAGGGTGCAGCATAAATACTGATGCAAAAGAAAAAGTTCATAACTAAAGAAATTACTACACCAGCCTACAATTTTAACACAAAATAAGTCATATTCTGATAAAGCATAGCAGAAAATCCCATTCACTATAGTTCCTTATGGCCTTCTCAACACATCAAAGTCTTTCGAGAAAATCATTGATGGTGGCATGCACAGTTTGTCCCATACTCTCTTTAAAGCATCAATATTGTGGTGCAGGTCTCACTCTCAAGAACTGCCCACAAACAATTGTCAAGAGTATTGATATCTGGTGATGAGGGGGTGGGGGCAGTTATCCTTGGTGATGAAGCCAGGACAATTGTCTCTGCACTGCTGCAGTGTTACATAAGCAGTATGGCTCATCACTCCATCTTGTTGAAAAGTCCAATGTTCCTCACCATAAGTGGCATTTCACCATGGCTTGAGTGCATCTTCCAAGATGATCTATGTTCACTTCCTTGTTGATCTTTATCTCTTGAAGCATGAAAACAAGGAGAGACTTACCTCTCTGAAATGGTTGCCCAAAACATAACTGGTGCTAGTTTCTAGGTTCTGAGGCATTTTCCTGAAGCGACAGGAACTGACTGATGACTTGTTGAAAGAGCATGGTCATTTTGATGACAAAGTCTGTTCGACAATGAACAGTTCCTCATCAGAGAAGATGATGCTTTGAAGTGTGCCATCATGAATCTGTTTCAGCAACTGCTTACTTTTTTTGAAGTCTCTTTTTCATTATGATTATTGAAAGAAGCTGTCTCTTGGTTAACTTGCAGAATGACATCCCTAGTTCATTTCAATATATCCTCTGCTTAGTTCTCTCCGATGTTCCACCTTCCTTAGCCAATTTTCTCATTGAGCTTCTTGGATTACCTGATTTTTTTTCATACACCTGTTTAATGAGTTTTGGAATTCTGTAGGTGCAAGGATGTCCTGGTCTCAGTCTATCTTTGATGGTGAAAGTCTTATTGTACTTATGATAAACATTCTACTGATTCCAAGTTGTTTTCCA